TTGCTGCTGTTGCACTTACACCGTGCAGGGCTGCCTGGGGCCCAGGGAGTGAAAGAATCAAAGAAGTTAAAAAAAAAAAAAAAAGGCAATCAAAACAGAAAACAGGGATTTCTTCCACTTTCTGTCTAGTAGAAGACCCCTCTCCTGATCCTCCAGCCAGAAATAGAGAGCCTCTCTTTGAGCTTTCTTTCCACGTCTGCTGTATACTTCTGGGTTTCAGGTTAAAAGGATACCATTTATATTAGCATCAAAAAGTACAAAGTACCAAGGAACAGACCTCACAAAACAGGTACAAAATATCTATAGAGAAAATTACAAAATTGTACTGAGGTATTTTTAGAGGACTCAACTAAATAAAGCAATACCCTAAAACTTATAATTAAAAGACTGAATATTGTAAAGATGTCAGTTCTTCTCAAGTTGATTTAAGGTTCAAATGTAATACCAATTAATATTTCAGAAGACATTTTTATTTTTCATACTAAAAATAACATTCTATTTGTCTGTTTATCTAGTAGTTAACTTTCTATAAAGGAGCAAAAATTATTTTGTGACAAATTTTTTTTGAGATATAATTTCAGTTTATGGTTGCAAAATAATATTTTCTTGCCCTGGGGATATATTTATCACCTTATTTATTTACTTTTCCTTTTTATTTTTTTTTAAAGGATAGCTGACATACAATATTACATTAGTTTCAGGTGTACAACATCGGGATTTGACATTTACATTCATTACAAACTGATCACCCAGTAAGTCTAGTTACCATCTGTCACCACAAAGTTATCACAATGTTACTGACTATATTCCATATGCTGTACATTATATCCCCGTGACTTCATTTTATAACTACAAGTTTGTGCTTCTTAATCCCATTCACTTATTTCGTGCAAGCCCTCACCCCTCTCTCAACAGTTTTTTAAGGAAACTTAACAGCTTATTCTAAAATTTATATGAAAATGTGATTCATAAGGACCAAACAGGCAAGACAGTGTTCATGAATAAGGTAGGAGGCCCTCCTCTACTAGATGGCAAGATTTATTTTTTAAAAAACGATAGTAATTATGAAGGGCAGTACTTACCACAGGGATATTCAAACAGACCAATAGAACAGTACGGAAAGGCCAACCAAATTCTTGGACAAAACCCTTTAATGATGGTAGAAAGCCTTTCTGCTTCCGCTACTGATGAGTTAGCAAGTGTTTACCAAGCATCTGTTTTGTGCTATGTGCTGCAGTGACTACAAAAGCACAAATACTCTCACAGTCCATTTAAAGTGTAAGATTTTACTGAGGAAATAAAAGACCTGCACAAATACAGCCATCAGAGGACAAAGCCCAGGACAACAAGTAGCAGTCAGGTGGTACGGGTGAGACCATGTACGATGTCAGAGAGGGAAGAGACCAAAGAGGGCTGGGGTCACCAGGGAGGTTTTCATGGGCAGCAGGGTCTGCATAAGGAAGTAAAGAAAAACTGAGACCCCAAAAGGCAAAAGTCAAATACTCCCCACAGACAAAGCATGAAGGGAAGAGCGATAACCACGTACACAAAAGGCAGTAAGACATGACAAACCGCAGCTCAACTACGAAGCAGGAAGAGACTCCATGAGAGAGAGGTCCCTGACCGCCAGGGCAAGAGTCGGACTTTTTCTGATAAGAAAGAATTCACTAAAATTCCTGAGCAAGTGAGAAACACAAAGCTAGTAGTGTTCTATACATATTCTTCAGAGGTACAAAATCGAGCTTTGAGGTTAGATTAGGGGGTGATAAAGGTATACAGATAGTAAGAAAGGAAAGGAAAAATCTGAAATAGTCTTGTCAGGAATTAAAACCATAAACCATGACTGATGTTTAAAACCATGTAGTAGACAAGCTTTATTAAATTCAGGTTTCACAGGGAGCTAACCAAAAAGCGTGGAGCACTTTAAATATAAGGCATTCCACTAATGAAATTAAAGTGTGGAGAAGACACCTAACTTTCTGATTTGACTTACCAGTGTTTATTTTTGATGTTACGTGAGCTATGTCAATTTTCTGGGCCCTGATGAGAGGTGCAGCTTTTGTAGAAGGAGTGTGTGCTATATTCTTCCTTCGATCTTTTGCTTTGCTTATCTTTGAAAGAGGTGCAAAAATACCTAAGGGAGAATGCAGAGTTTCAGTTCGTGTTAAACAATTAAGAGCATTTCAAATAAAGGGACAAGTACAACCATTCTTATTATAAATCCTTAAGGGCTTTCACAGTGTCTACCGGGTGCCCAGGAGAGAGACACAGTTAAAGAAGTCAAAAAACTTCTTGCCTATAAAGAGCAGGATTCAGGGTCACAAAGAGCAAGACAGGGGAGGGTTTAGTAGTTATTTTTAACAAGTATTATAATACAATCTGACTTATTAAACTAGGTATATCTATTCACTTTGGTGATTATTAGAAGATATAAAAATGGTATTACCAAGTATTTAAAATTATTATAAAACTTTTATAATTGCCATAACTGAGAAGTAACCAAGATACCCTTTAGTAGATGACTAGTTAAACTGTGGTATATCCAGACAATGGAATATTTTCATGCTAAAAAGACCTGGGCTATCAAGCCATGAAAAGACATGGATGAAACTTAAATGCAAATCACTAAATAAAAGAAGCCAACTTGCAAAGGCTCCATCCCATATGAATCCAGCTATTGTCATCCTGGAAAAGACAAAACTATGGAGCCAGAAAAAAGACCAACTGTTGCCAGGGGCTGAGGTGAGGAGGGATGAATAGGGCAGTGAAAATACCCTATAATACAGCAGTGACGAACACACGTCACTATACGTGTGTCCAAACCCACAGAATGTATGACACAAAGAGTGAACCCCTTAAGGTAAACTATGAACTTTGCATGCAAATAAACTCCAAATTGATTAAATAATATAGTATTTAAAAATTAAAACATTCAAAAAAAATATATAACCTGTAACTAATCCTTGGATTAGGAAGAACTATCTATTTTAGCATAGAAGCAAGGTAAGAAACTATAAAGGAAAAATCTTTTAACTACAGAAAACTGTATGTCCAAAAACACTGCAAATTAAGTCCAAAGTCAAATGACAAACTGGGCAAAAATACCTATAACAAATATAAGGGCATAACATTCTAGATATGTATTTACATTTTTAAAAACTCTTATTTAAAAAAAACCCACTAATAACCCCAATTTTTAATGGACATACAACATGAATAATTATTTTTTGGCAATTGCCAAGATAACAAAAAATACATATACTACAATGCAACATTTTAAATGTTTTATTTCACCACAGAGAAATATGAATTCAAACAGAAATTTTCACCCATCAAATTGGAAAAATTAAAGGAAATGAAGCCATTAAAAATCACATTTTCAAACAATGTTTAAAGATTTGGGGGAATTATAATAGAATGGCAACCAAAAAAGTAGAATATATAACTATATACAATCCAAATTTTGCAGAAAAAAATACAGGTGATTTTATTTTCTTTCTTTCTCCTTTTTTTAATGTTTTTTAGATCTAATACAATGGGATATTTTTAATAAAGAAAAAATTTTGAAACACAGACTCAAAAATGAGGCTCCCTTTGTATAACAAAAGGAAACTAGTGATTTTGATAAATTTATAAGTTACCAAATAGTTAATATTTTAGGGGGTGCTTACAGGGAACCAACCACTATTCTAGGTGCTTTACATATTTATCAACACACTTAATTCTCACATGAACTCTTGAGGTATTGTTACCCTCATTCTGTAGAAGAAAACTGAGGCACAAGAAGAGAAAGAAGGTCCCACAGCTGGTAGGCAGAGCAGCAGATTCACACTCAAGCAGTCAGGCGCCAAAGCCCACGCCCTTCAACATTATACCACACTGCCTCCCCGTCAAGCCGCAAGATGAGATACCATGCAACCAGGGAAATTAATGTTCTACGAAAATACTTCACAGCAAGGAAAAATATTCACAACAGTGACAAAAGCAAACTGAAATCAATGTGTTATGGTGTGTGTGTGTGAGAGCGAGAGAGAGCAAGAGAGAGCAAGTGGGGGGAGCATATAAAATTAAACAAACACTTGTCAGAGAAAGAATCATCCCAGCCCCAGAGCACAGTAAAAACACGTTGGTGTCACTTGCTTCTCCAATTTTTCAAGTCTCTCAACCTCCAGAGCTCTATGTCCTTGGCAATAAAGAGTAAAATCTCTCCTTCAGTCACGACCCCGCCAAGAGCAGGGTTCAGGAAGGTCTACAGAGCTGGGCACACTCCCAGTAAGACCCCCTCTCCCATCACAGCACTGCTCACAGCCGGAAAAGGGCAGCCCCTGCTTTTATCATGTAAGTAACTGGGGAGATAGTTTTATTTTAAACTAATTTAAAATAATAGAAATTTACTCTTTTATCAATTCTCATTATATTTGATAATATCAATCTTACCGTATTTGGGGGCACATTTAAAGTACTGGACTTTCCCAACACTTCCATTGTTTTTTCCTTCTGGTTCATCCAATTCAATGCCAGCCCACTGCCCACTTGCAAATTCAGTTGTTCCACAAAATCTTAATGTTCCAACCTAAATAAAACATAAATTGGAGTAACTTTTGAGTATTACTAGTAATTCTAAGTGTCCTACTCTTACAACTTTATCATGGAAGTTTTTAAAAAAAAATCTCTCAAAGTAGACTTCTGAAAAAGGAAAATATTACCAGGGATAAAAAGAGACCTTAAATAATCATACAAGTGTCAATGGACCAAGAAGGCCTAAGAATCCTAAACCTATATGCACCTAACAATTGAGCTTCAAAACATATGAAATAAAAACTGATAGAACTGAAGATAAACAGACAAATCCACAGTCACAGCTGGAGACTTCAACAAACCTCTCCCCATAATCAATAGGCCCAGCAGGCAGAAAACCAGTGAGGATATAAGAAACTGAAAACTGAAACCAGCTATAAGCCAATTCAGCCTAACATTTATAAAATATTCCATCTGAAACAGAATACAAATGTAAAAGAGTAGAAATCATACACAATATGCTCTTAGACCATAAAGGAATTAAACCAGAAATCACTAACAGAAAGATATATGGAAAAATCTCTTAACATTTGGAAATTAAACAATATACTTCTAAACAACCTATGGTTTAAGAAAAAGAAAATCACAAGGGAAATAATAAAATATTTCAATTGAATAAAAATGATAACAAAATAAGTCAAAATTTGTGGATATAGCAAAAGCAGTGCTTAGAGGCAAATTTATAGCATTAAAATGCTTGTATTAGAAAAGGTCTCAAATCAATGATACAAACTTCCACCCTGACAAAACTAGAAAGTGAAAACCCAAAGCAAGCAAAAGGAGGAAATAATAAAGATAAAAAATTAAGAATGGAAAAACAATAGAGAAAAATCAATGAAACTAGAAGCTAGTTCTTTGGAGGGATAAATAAGATACACTTTTAGCTGGAGACCAGGGGAAAGAAAAGAGAAGACACAAATTACAAACATCATGAATGAAAAAAGGACACTATTAAATTCCTTCAGTCATTTAAAGACATAGTAAGAAAATATTATAAATAATTCTATGCCTACAAATTTGACAAATTAGATGAAATGTTCCAATTCCTTAAAAGACACAAACTGTCAAAGCTCACACCTGAATTGAATCCGTGGTTAAGAATCTTCAAAACAAAAATGCCCTACAGACCCAGATGGCCTCACTGGTGAATTTGACCAAAGAATTTAAGGGAAAAAAATCCCAATTCCACACAAACTCTTCTAGAATATAAAAGCAGAGGGATCCATTCTCAACTCATTTTATGAAGCCAGCATTACGCTGATATCAAAACCAGACAAAGACACTATAAGAAAGCTATAGACCAATATCCCTCATGAACATAAACACAATAATCCTCAACAAAATAGCAAATCAAATTCAGCAATACATTAAAAGGACAATACAGCATGACCAAGTGAGGTTTATCATGAGAATGCAAGGCTAGTTCAACATTTGAGAATTAATCAGTATAATTCATCATATCCACAAATTAAAGGCAGGGGTAGTGGGAAGAGGGGGTTTATTCTCTGGACATAAGCAGAAAAACGCTCAGCAAACTTCCTCAACTTAATAAAAGACATCTATACAAAATCTATAGCTAACAATTGCCACACTTAATGATGAGTAACAGAGTGCCTTCCCCTCAAGACTGGGGACAGGGCAAGGATACTGGCTCTTACCATTCCTATTCATCATTATACTGAAGGTCCACGGCAATGAAACAAGGCAAGGAAAATAAATGCATACAGACTGAAAAGAAAACTATTTCTATTCACAGACAACATGGCTATTTACATAAGATATCTCAAAGAACCTACGAAAAAAGGTCAGCAGACCTAATGAATTTTGCAAAGTAGCAGGATATACAGCCAATATACAAAAAGCAATTGTATTTCTGTATACTAGCAATGAACAACTAGAAAATGAAATTTCAAGCATGCCAGCATTTACAGCAACACCAAAGAGCATGAAAAACCTAGGTATAAATCTAACAAAGTATGTGTGATACCTGTATGCTTAAAAACTACAAAAGTTTGATGAAATAAACCAAATACCTATTAAATAGGAGATATATTGTGTTTAAGATTCAAAGTCTCAATATTTTTAGTATGTCAGTGCTCCTCAACTGGTCTATGTTTAACACAACCCATTCAAAAATCTCTGCAGGATTTTTTTGTAAACCTCTTTCAGCTGACTCTAAAATGTACATGGAAAGGCAAAGGAACCTAAAAAAAAAGAAAGAAAAAAAATGAAGGCCTAACACTATCTGACTGCAACACCTACTACACAGCCTCAGCAATCACGACAGGGCAGGACTGAAGAAAGGATAATCGTGAGATCAGTGGAGCAGAACAAAATCCGGGAATAGACCCACACTCACGTGGTTACCTGCCAAAGGAGCAAGGGCAGCATTTCAAGACAGAGAGGGAAAAAGAAACACACAAACTCTATCTACACCGAGCACTCTCTCCAAAAATTAACTCAAAATTAAATATAAAACCTAAAACTGTAAACACCTAGAAGAAAACATAGTAGAAAATTTCTCAGATTTCTACACACCCAAGCCATAAGAGAAAAACTTAGTAAAATAGACTTCATCAAAATTTAAAACATCTACTCTTTGCAAGACACTCCTAAGAGAATGAAAAGACAAGCAACAGACTGAGAGAAGACAAATGAAACAAGGCTGACTGTGCGATGATGAAGTCAGCCCTGCTGACAGGTATATGTGTGTTCATTGTATGTTCCTACTTTTGTATAGCTTTAAATTATTCAAAATAAAAAGTAAAATAAAACAAGTGCATTCTCAGACACAGGACAGGAACACTAAAAGAAGCTGAATATTAATCCTAGTGGGGGGAAATGCTATGCATTCATCGTTTCTTGATACTTTAGCTCCACAGACAGGACAATGGAAAACAAACAAGTGTCTGTGAATGTATTCATGTGGAAGTTGGTACATGTCATTCTC